CGACATCGCAATCCCAAGATGGCAGAAGCGGGAAGTGGTTTCCAATACTTCAGCACCAATGCTGATTCGCGGCACTACTAAAGATTGCACATACGGTGAATGCCGAAAGTGACAGGCAGTTTTGCTTGTGTTGATGGTGTGCCCGAATTTGACCGCTGTCGTAGCCAGAGCACTAGTCATGTGCTGCAACTCATCCGCGCTGTGTGAAAACAACGCACAATCGTCAACAAACAGCAGCCTACGGATAGTTGTCTCACAGACTATTTTTTGGTCACCGAAGCGATGGATCTTCAGCAACCCACCATCAATACGGCGCTCCACACGACCAGCGTAAGCACCAGCCGCATCAAAAGTACACGGAATCATTGGATAAAGATAGCTAATACAAAGGGCAGGAGCTGAGACACCGCCTGGCTTCACACCAAAGAAAACTGCAATGTCGTTCGTTGTCTGTCCACTCAGCTTCACCCTCGCTCGCATACCACTGTGCAGACATTCAGTTAAACTTACAAATATACAAGGCAACCAAACTTACCCAACACCAGCCACAATGTCTCGCGGTTCACCGTATCAAATGCTTTGGTGAAATCAACAAAAAGCGAGTACAATGGCTGGTGTCGTTCTCTACACTTCTCTTGCAACTGACGAGCCGCAAACACCATATCTATAGTGCTGCGACCCGAACGGAATCCACATTGCTCTTCCGCCACGTTTGGTTCCACAACCTGACTGACGAGGCGATTGAGCAGGATTCGGGCAATCACCTTGCCCACACAACTCAGCAAGTTGATGCCACGATAATTCGTGCAACATTGGTTGCTCCCTTTGCCCTTGTACAGTGATAGCACGTGGGCATCCTTCAGCACAGGATGCATCTCCTCCTCAAACCATACACGTTGCACCAAGTGGTGCAGCGCACTCACCAACGAGGATCCGCCATGTTTCAATGCATGAAAAGGGATTCCATCGGCACCGGCACACTGGCCATTACGCCGCTGAGCAGATGCTCTTTGCGTCTTATCCAAAGTCAGCGTGTCCGCCAGACTCGTCTTCACATCGTGCTGCTTGAGGCCGTTCAATGTAGGCCAGTCGATCTCTGAGCGGTTGTTCAAGAGACATTCAAATTGTTTCAGCCAACTTTGCATTATGTCTGCAGTCTGTGTGCAGGTAGCGCCTGAGCTATCATCGATCAGTGTCCTCAGCGGCTCCAACCTCGGTCCATACACCGCCTTCAAGGAGGCGAAGGATTCCTTGTGTTGGCGGCGTTCGGCGTGGTATTCCATCTGCATCGCTTTCTCCGTTCACCATGCATTTTTATGCCACGGAGCTTTTGAGTCAGTCCCCGTCGAAGTTTGCGAAACTGACTCTTCTTCCCCAAGTCACTGGCATCTGCCACATATGCATCAAATGCTACATTTTTCTCACACACCAATGCGCCAATTGTCGCGAAGATCTCATCAAAGGAATCGGGCTGCTTACAGTTTGCGCGCCCGATGGTCTCCTCCGCAGCAGCTGTCACCTGGTCGCGAATGTGGTGCCACAGTTCGCCCACTGCGGCCAGGCATTCCACCTCACACAAGCTTGCGTCCGACGCCTTCTCCAGCTCAATCCGTTTCGCCACAGTACCGAGGGAGAGAATGCTAAATTTACGCCGATTCAAGGCGGGAGTGTAATACATCGATTTACGAAAATATATGTACAGTTTGGTCCGAACCAATTTATGTTCAGTGCCACACTCAGCTCCACGCAGTACACGTGTCATGCGCACTTCACGCATATCACGCTGACGTACGATGACATAGTCGAGCAGGTGAGCATGACCACCTCGCGGGTGCGTCCAAGTTGCTATATCACTCGCACTCAGTGCAAACCGAGTGTTCGTGATCGACAGGCCGTGAGTGGCACACAGTGAGAGCAGCCTGTCACCGTTCGCATTCGCCGAACCAATGCCATGCGGAGGATAGCTCAGTGTAGATCTGATCACGTGTGTCATCAGGATAACACATGGTCGGACCATATGTGCTTATAAAAGTAGCAAACGTACCTCTTCCGCGTCGTAGGCGAACAGTCATCAGCCGCGCGCTGATGCCCGTTGGTTCACCCACCAGCTGACCATAAAGGCGATCGGATATTGCAACTCCGACCCCATGTTCACGTGGTGCTGAGGCGGCGTTGCTCACCCAGTAGAATGTGTAGCCAGCACCTGCTTCATGTAACTTACCTTGCTCAGTGAGCCGGGTTTCGCTGAGCGCCGCAATATCGATGTTGTAGCGCGCCAGCTCCATTGCGACCAGTGCAGTGCGTAGCTCTGGGCGCTCGCAGGAGTTCCGGTCTAATAGTGTGCGCACGTTCCAGCATCCGATGCTGAGTGCTTTACGCGCAGGCATACGATTGCATTGGTGGGCAATCGCACGCGAGGTGGTCGTTGTGCTTCGGAGGTTTGCTTGAGGGACTCCACCCGGAGCCTTTGGCTCAATAGCCTGACCCACAAGGCAGTGGGTGGTTTGGAGGTTTGATTGGGGGACTCCACCCGGAGCCTTTGGCTCAATAGCCTGACCTGAAAGGCAGTGGGTGGTTTGGAGGTTTGCTTGAGGGACTCCGCCCGGAGCCTTTGGCTCAATAGCCTGACCCACAAGGCAGTGGGGAGCAGATCCAACTCGGGAATGTAATTGCAGCGACAGACTTGGGTCCGCCTGTTCCGTCACACGCAGCCTTTGAAGTACTGGAACGATTCATATGTGCTTTTGTAACCCTAGTAAGTTACGCTGCTGGGATCATGGCCAGACGCAGGTGGGTTTTGGCGGGTTTGCACCAATTCGTCCAGGGGTTGCCTGGCTTGAGGCGAGCAGTAGCAAACCTTTGAACATCCGGAGGTGCTCTCCCACCGTCGGGGACAACGCATGGCGCTCGTGCTCTACGCCAATCGAGCTGTGATCTTATCAGCCGTAGAGCTGTTGTCTCCCGTGGCTAGGTTTAACGGGATGAGTGCTACCGACCACTTCCTAACTTCCGAAGAGTATGTACTATGCTACTGGCAATGCGCCCACTCCTGGCAGGAGCACGACTCGGGTCCCCAGCCAAAGCCTTCGATTAAATGAACACACGAAATGCAGCGGTTGTAGCACATGGTCAGTTTACTGACTCATGAGGATTGTTGTCGTATCTCATAGCTAGGAGGAGGGCGTAACTGAACTACCACACAGCGGTCGCCACGAGGAGGCGTCCAGGTCATGAGCACATGGCACAACAGTAGCAGCAGTGGGTAGACAATTTGTCAAAATCTAGCCCCCTCAAGCCTCAGCGCACCATAGGCTTTCTCGCTTGTATATAATATGCAACGTTGTTGGCGGCATCTACCTCCTCATTTGCCTGTCAGTGCGGCCTCTAAGAAGACAACCACAGGACGCTTGTGCCTACAGAGGGACCATGAGCGCCTTGTGCTGCATCATTCACAGCTCCAACCACACATTCCATATACAGTGTAAACCCGAAGGAATAAGACCGGGAGGTTTGCGGATGGGAGCCACGTTTCATCAACGGAGTCGGCCCACACTCCTTCATATTCAAACATAAGCACGCTGTATTTGGGGAATCAAGGACGCACAAGGCGGTGGCTGAACCGTCGTCCGCTCGCCACTGAGTGCATGGAACGAATGTATGAGCCTAGCTAGGCCATAAGGACAGTGCACCAAGTCCCCTCCAGCAAAACCCATTGTCTCCTGGAGCCAGTATGGACGAAGTAGTGGGTAATAGACAGGTAGGCACCTTGTCAACATGCACATCAAGCGCAACGATATCGGGGTATCAAACAACAACCAGTCACTTGAAATGATGAAGGGAAATTAATTAAATCGATTAGTGCATACAGATACGGTGACATTACTATGCACTAAATAAGCGTATGAAATAAATTGTTTGCCAAAATTCCACTATATGTTCAAGACCTCAGAACAAATATAACAAGAAAAGGCTACCAACACGAAAGTGTTATTAAAGTTAACGGCATTTAACTTGAGAGTGGTGTATGATTTAATACAACCATGTTCAGGGAGACATTAATGAGACTATAGCAAACCCATCACGAATAATAAAGAGAACCCGCATGCAAGAAAGCGGTTAGTTAATCGGATGTAGCTTACCTGCCAACGTATATACATACATAAAGCCGGTATGTACTGGTCAACTAGCAAATTTTGTTTACAATTTGTTATCAAACGCCTCTGTATTACCACGCTCATGCCGTTTTAGGATTGTTCCGCACTTTGGCGTAAGTCATTTATTTATTTTAATTGGATGTTAAGGAAACGACTCAACGATGCTTGGAACCATTTGCATTACGTGATGTGAGTTCCGCTCTACGAGTTATGGTAAGGCACACACAAACAATGTACCGACCAACTCCCATAGATAATACGGCGAGTCCAAATATACCCATTTTTAACCCATGTATTTCACGCAAACTATTCTACGGGACTTGTCAAGTCCTGGCCTCTACAGCGCGACGGTCGTGCAATAGATTTCAGGAACTCCGATTTGAACGGCCAAACAAATGCTTGTGGCAGAACGTAGAAAAAGCAGTTAGCAAATTTTACTGAAAGTTTGTTAAGTGCTAAGGCTAAAATGTCGTACCCAGATATTTAGCTAGGGAGTATGGGGTATGGTGTTGCGTGGGATGGACAACCAACGTTCGCTTTCAAAGCCCGCGGAACAAGTCCGGATTTTGTCGATGTGTCTCACACAAACCACCTACCTCCCCAATACATAAGAAAACTATAATTTCATAATATTACCAGCTGATTTACACAACAAGCCGTGGAATCTGCAGATCACTAAAAATTTAGTGTTCCATTGATATAATAAATAGGAATGGAATATTGGAAATTAGTGGCCAAAGACCATTGAATATCACCAATTTAATGGTAAAACGTTATGGTCAGTTCAGTAATAAAACATTACAGGAAAGCAATTTTGGGAAAATCAAGAATTAGGGAGTCACTTACCTTATCAGCTAAACTCCTCTCAGGCCATTATGTGATCTTTTCGAAAGCCGAATGATCAATAGTTGACGCACGTGATTTGTGACTGTAATGCAACTTCCAAGCATCGTGTCCAATTGAGACACTTTACAAACCGTATTAATTGGTTACTTTTCTTGCCTGCCATTAATTTCTACCATGGTATATTTTCGCTTACTTACGTCATCAACATTAAAAGAAGTTGTGATCGATTCGATCCCATTGGGATGTTTGGATGGTGTGGCCTTATTATCCATCTTCCTCGATAAAGTAGAACCAGTTGCAAGCAACACGAATCTTTATCGCCTCTACAGCTACAACGCCTGCAAAGGTGATTCTTATATGGACAGTCTCGAGCAAAATGCCATTCATTCAATTAAACAATCATCAGCAACTGCATTACATTAGCCATTTGGACTGATGCTTCAGTGCCACAAGACCATGATGACCTATGGAATAGGGAAATATAAGGTGAAGTGAGACTTACCTGAATACCTTAATGCCCTAAGCAAATATTCAGCGTCAACAACAGCTGGCAGTCGTACAAAGATAAGTTGAGAACAGCAAGAAACCTTCTTTACGGCTTTCACTACCTCACGTCATACTCATCCATTACACCACAGATAACTCAGCACCAAGTATAGTTTAAACAGGCAGTCCGATTAAGCGACGGCCGCAGACGCGCCACTGGTGTCGGTTGCTAGCCATGTCCTGTAAAGTCTCGAGGCAAGCACAACGTGAGTCACGTGGACTCCAGCCCTGAAGACGAGACGGACCAACGGCATCAAGTTTGGTCTTCATTGACTTCATTTCCCGCTGCCAAGTCAACTTCTGTCCACCACAAGTTTTGCGCTATCCTACATCCGGCAGACTAAACAAGTCCCTCCTCGGTAAGCGGTGACCAGGCCTACGTAGCGAGTACCCAAGCCAAAGCAACTTGTACCTTGCTATCCTTTGTCTAAAGGAATCCCCGCAGTTATCACTGCTTGGTACGCCCCTATGCACATCATCATTACGGACACGCTGGCGTCATCCGACACCATCAATGCTCCGCAGACTATGATGATTAAAGACTTGAATGCGCCTCAGGTCTTCAGACCGAAGGGGCCAAGTCTCACTCCCATGGAGAAGGACGGCCCTCACTGTGGCCTTATAAACACGGCCATTCAGACGGAGGGAAATTCCCTTCTGTCGCCAAAGATGCCGCTGGTTCAAGCATATAGTTCTGGTCTTTGCAATGACTAAACTAAATTCAGTTTCAATGCATCCATCGTTGCTGATGCAACTGCGAGGGCAACTGAACTGCTCAACCATCACGAGTTCCCCGGTAGCACGTGCCAAGTTGTCCTAAAGTGGCTGGTGGCTCTGCAGCGACATTACATTTTGAAGGTGCGAAGTGCATATCAACTAATGGGACCATTCTAGACATGCTAGTCAGTATTGATAGTGCTGCCGCAACATCGTCGAAAAGCAAGATGATATCGTCCGCATGATCAAGATCAACTTTCCTTGCACCAGGCAAGATCGCAACGCCTACATCGTGCGATTCCGCAAGGGAACACTCTCTGATAGAGTTCACAAGGAAAATGAACGAAAACGAGAAAATTGGACAACCCTGACGAACACCATTTGTCGTCAGAAAGCTATCTGACAGGTCACCTTAGACCCCGAAGCCTCCTGTACTGCTCGAGCACAGAGCATGTAAGATGTTCACATATTTCTTGGAAACATTTCCGCGCAAGTAGTTCGAACAGAATGGATCGATCGACTGAATCGAACGCACTCTTGAAATCGAGGAACACAGCTATTGTCGGTCTGCAGTATGCGTGGCGTTGCTGTAGCACCTGTCGCGGAGTGAATATGTGGTCTATACAGCCACGTCCTGGGTGGAAATATGCCTGCTCGTTCATAAGCTGAGATGCCCGTTCCACAGTGAGGCGACGAACGAGAATAGACCAGCAATTTTGTCACAACTGGTGTTAGGCTACTACCTCCGTGGTTAGCACAATCTGTGCGACTTCCCTTCTTGTATAATGCCTCTATAATCGATTTGCTCCAGACAACAGGAACATTCTCATCCTCCCAGATGTGTTCGAATAGGGAGGTCAGTGCTTCGCAGAGGACCTCACCTCCATCCACAAATAGTGCAGATGGGAGGGAATCCGGGCCGGCGGCACGAAAACGATCGGGGGTTGTGATCACATTTCGGACCTCGACCTCCGTTTGAGCCTCTAAACTGTCTGTCTATGACTGGTCCTGCATCTCCTGGGTAGGAAGACGTTCGGGAGCGGTGAGTCAACTGAACTGAGCTAGCATGTGTTCTGTCCAACGAGTCTTACAGCGCTCCTTATTGTGTATCAGTGCACCCGCGCTGTCTCGGATGGCCTCAAGAAAGCCTGATTTCCAGAGACCAGTGTTGCGGATCAGCTGGAAGGCCTTATGGTATTTGCCTAGTGCTCCTACCTTCTCCAGTCCTTGAGCACGACTGGTCCACCAGGCTTCTTATTAGCACGCAGACTCCGCTTTAGCTCGCGTCTAATAGCCCGTCTGGTCACTTTGTGCTCAGAGCCAGCCGGGAGGTGTCTTCTAGATTCCAACAGATTCACCGACCTCTCAGATATCCAGTTACTGGTGCCGTGACGATTGCTAATGCCACAAGCACATGTTTCTGCGTCCTGTATGGCGGCCGATATTCTATTCCAGTGCAACCCAGTGTAAGTAGGATAAGACAATGAAATTTGGTACGACCTGCAGCATGGTAGGCTTGCTTTGGCGGACGCCCGCGACGATGTTGTGAGCGCAATGACACTGGCAGACTAGTGAATCCAGCTGTTCTGAGAGCTTTGTCTACTTGGGAAGTTGCACCACTGCTGGCGGAGCTATTGGAGACGAGATTTCGATGCGCATCTCGAGAGCACGCCTCGCTTTTTCTAGGCTGAGGCATTTGTGGCGTCGCCACGACATTCGTCTCTCCATCAAAGGGCGGGTCTATTGTGCAACTGTTCGTGCTGTACTGTTGTACGGATGCGAGACCTGGCCCATTCGTAAAGATGACTTGCGCAGGCTATCCGTCTTCGAGCACCGCTGTCTGCGGTCCATTGCCCGTGTGTGGTGGCAGCACCACGTAAGCAATGTGGAAGTTAGACAGCGTGTCTTGGGACGTGGAAGCCACTCGCTCGAGGAGCTCATCTCACTGCATCAACTGCGGTGGTTGGGACACGTATTGCGCATGCCTGTCCAGCGTTACCCCCGTCGTGCGTTGTTTGCACTTGCTGGACAGGGCTGGAAGAGACGGCCTGGTGGACAGCCTACAACATGGAGAAGCCGCATGAAAAAGTTGACGAAACAATTGGCCTCGGCCGGTTGTTGTCGACTACCTGGTTGGGGTCCGAGAGATGAGGATACTTGCTGGTTGAAAACCTTGGAAGTTATGGCTCAAGATCGATGTCAATGGCGGACGTGTGCATCAGTGTGTTGCGGTGTCCCTTCTTCCTCCCCTAAAAAAGAACAAACTGAAAAAAATTTCAAAATCTGTGAGTGGTAAACTTGACAAAAAAAAGCATTTCTTGTTGCTCTTTTCTTATTATTCATATTGTTTTCCTATTCAGCCATGATTCCGATGGCACAATATCTGTACCACAGATTATATATATATATATATATATATATATATATATATATATATATATATATATATATATATACGCAGTCATCCGAGTTGGATAAACGCTCACTGGATGCAATTGAAGCTCACTGGTCTCATATGCAACAGGCCTTACTAGCAGCAGGCAAATCATCATGTGGTATGTCTAATCGCCAACATGAACATTGGGTCTCTTCACAGTCTTTGGAACTTATAGATGCTCGCCGGCATATTCCGGCTGGAAGCGAACACAATGAAACTCGCAAAGAGCTCCGGGCAATACTCCGTGCTAGCCTGAAGAGAGACCTCGAATCCTGGTGGTCTCGTCGTGCAACAGAGATGGAAATGGCCGCTGCCCTTGGGAACCATCGTGAGTTATTCCGTCTTATACGGGAAACGGGCAGCAGGAGACCTGGTGTTAGTGAAACTATACGTGACGAGAGTGGACAGCCTATCCACAACTTATCAAAATGCTTGGAACGTTGGGCTGAGCACTTTGAAAGGCAATTTAATCGGTCGGAATTGTTGGATTTCTCACCGATCAGTGATCGCCCTTCTCTGTGAGCTGTTCCTTTGGATCCACCCTCTCGCTCAGAAGTCGAACATGAGATTAAACTGTTGAAGTTAAGTAGAGCCGCGGGACCTGATGACCTTCATCCAGCCCTTTTCAAATTCGGGGGACCTGCTCTTGTGGATGATTTACACGAGTTACTAGTGAGACTGTGGGAGCAGGAAACTGTCCCAACCGATTGGAGCCGCTCCATCATAGTCCCAATTTTCAAAGGAAGCTCACGATCGGAATGCGGCAGCCATACAGGAATCAGTCTGATCTCCATCGCCTCCAAATTGCTTGCCTCTGTCATCCTTCACAGACTGACTGGGACTCGTGAACGCCAGATTCGTGAAGAGCAAGCTGGATTTCGTCGAGGTCGTAGCTGCATTGACCACATCTTCACCTTGCGTCAGTTGTTGGAGCACCGTCACATATATTGGCGGCCCACCGTTGTCGTGTTCCTCGATATCAAAGGTGCATTCGATTCGGTGGATAGACATGCACTTTTGGAATGCCTACTCAGGAAAGGTGTACCTGAGAAATATGTGAACATTATCCGAGCATTATATGCTCGTAGCTCGGGCAGAGTGAGGGCTTACGGCAAGTTGTCGTCGCCCTTTAATATCTCCAGCGGCGTGAGACAAGGATGCCCGCTGTCACCTTTCCTCTTCAACTTCGCTGTTGACGAAGTCATGGAAATCGCGTTCACAGGACACGACTTAGAAGGTGTGGAGCTACTCCCAGGAGAACGACTTCTTGACTTAGAGTATGCTGATGATATTGCCCTAATCTGTGACAGCTCACAAACGTGCCAAGCGGCACTGGACAGATT